CTGATTGTCTTGCTTTTTCACCCTTTCTAGTCTCCTGTATCAGAAGTGTGTCTAATCAATAGCAGATTAGCTGAAATGAGAATAAACTATTGCTACTATTGCTGGTTGGTTGCAACTCATGCCTTCACTTTCTACAAAGCATATTGCATTCCTGGTTTCCCATTATTTTTCACTTACGTTCCTGTGGTGTTACCCTGCAACTCGGTGCACACTCCCGAATTTCAGCTAGGCAGCCAGATCAATCAAGCAGTAGGTGTCCTGGTCAGCACCTGCACGAAGTGAAAATGATAGGCCTGGCTCATAAACAGAGCAATTGCTGGGCTGTTCTGCCAAGCAAGTCCTGGCTGCTTCAGAGGGCGCGTGGTCGTGTGAAAGGCCAGGCAGCTCCTAAAGTCACAGTTCATCTCTGAATTTGGTAGATCGGTTGAATCCTAACAATTTGTTCTGACATTGCAGTCTATTGCTGGAAATGGACGTCCCGGTGTTACTACTTGGCAAGACTAAAATGCTGGGCACTGAGAAAGAGAAACACGGGTCTAATGTTGTATAAACTACTTTGCATGAGATATTGCAAGAAGAAGATAATCCAAGAGTACAGTGGAATGGGTGTTGGGATGCTGATTTACTTTTGTCTTTTTGATATCTGCACTAGATCTCAGCTTGCCAAGCATATTTCTTGTTACTAGCAGAATATTTATTTTATTTTCTCTTCTTCTTGTAGAAAATTTTACTACATCACACTGCTGAGAGACCCCGTATCTCGTTATCTCAGCGAATGGCGTCACGTCCAACGAGGAGCTACTTGGAAGACCTCCTTGCACATGTGTGATGGCAGGACACCAACTCCTGAAGAACTGCCCTCATGCTATGAAGGCACAGACTGGTCAGGCTGCACGCTGCAGGAGTTCATGGATTGCCCGTATAATTTGGCCAACAACCGCCAAGTGAGGATGTTGGCTGACTTGAGCTTAGTGGGCTGCTACAACATGTCTTTCATCCCAGAGAACAAGAGAGCACAGATCCTGCTGGAGAGTGCAAAAAAGAACCTCAAAGACATGGCCTTCTTCGGCCTGACAGAGTTCCAGAGAAAGACTCAGTACCTGTTTGAGAGAACTTTTAATCTGAAATTCATCCGGCCCTTTATGCAGTACAACAGTACCAGGGCAGGAGGGGTGGAGGTGGATAATGACACCATCCGGAGGATTGAGGAGCTCAATGACTTGGACATGCAGCTCTATGACTATGCAAAGGACCTCTTCCAACAGCGCTACCAGTACAAACGGCAGCTAGAGAGGATGGAGCAGAGGATAAAGAATCGGGAAGAGCGGCTTCTTCACCGGTCCAATGAAGCACTTCCCAAGGAAGAGACCGAAGAGCAAGCACGCTTGCCCACTGAGGACTACATGAGCCATATTATAGAGAAGTGGTAGCCTAGGCAGACTTTTATATTAATGATATTCTAGGGTTTCCATATAAAAGATCATGGAAGTAAAATTGCAAAACAACAAAAAATATTTTATTTAAAAGCAAGTCTGTAAAACAGAAGATAGATTGCTTCCTTAAGCATAGGGTCTTTTTACTGTTTCTTACAAGACCGATGAGATTCTTAAAAAAAAATAAATAAATACATAAAAATAAAAAAAGGGTCAACATTATAATGCAGAGGTGAAAAATGCACAAATGCAGTTACCCACTCGTAAGGCCAAATACAAAAGAATGTTTCTTATCCTCACAATTCAAACACAAGTGGCCGAAGCAGGAGTTTTAAAATGTCTACCCCCTGAGCGTAATGATAGAAAGATACATAATTAAAAAGGGAACAGAGGTTTTCTTTTGTGGGTGTTTTTGGAGGTGGGATGGGAATTGCATTGTTTGTAAGTAAATGATAACCGTGGATGAGGATGCGCCATCCTGTCAGGCTGCGATCCCGGCACAAGGGTGGTCACTTCATTTCAGCTGGCAGCCACTGCCAGAAAGTCGAGCACCGTAAAAATAAAAGAAGAAAAACATCAGAGGATGAGAAACGTTAAAGCAAACAGACTGGGCCTAGGATATGTACTTAGCACAGTGGTTCTGATACATTGCACTGGTATCATAAATACATACGCAACTTCATCACAAAAATCGTAAGGAATTCATGCACAGAGCTCCCGGATTCGTTCCACAGGCAGGTCCCAAAAGAAGTTGAAAGCCGACCAATTTCCACATAGGCTCAAACGTGCACTCACATGCCATCCCATCACCCTGCACAGCTGCCGCTCGTGCCATCGTCAGTATTATGTGGTAACAGCACATGGAAACCCTGTCCTACATACTAAAAAAAGGAAGAATTTAAATAGCGATACTCCCTTGTAAATCCGCACAACAAGTCCCAGGGAAGACCCTGCAAATAATCAGTCATTAATGGGAACATGATGAGGGGGTGATTCTGGTTTGTTTGTTGCTGCGTGAAATACTGAACTAGAACGAGCATTCAGACGTACCCAAATCTGTATTTTTTCCGTTATTTTTGCTTGCTTTTGTCAAGAGATAATGGGCATCAGCCTGCTTCCAGTGAAGTCACTAGAACTGATGTAAGTGGGAACAGGATGGGGCTCTCTTCCAGAGCTGTGAAAATTTCTGACTATGGGTCTGAATTAATTATGAGACAGTGCACATTGTCTTTTGGCAGAGTGCCTGTTCTGCAGCTCTTAACTTTAAATGAACAAGCTGTGTTCATAAAGCTGGAAAGGGGAATCATGGATAATGTTTTTTTAGTCTCAGACCACTTTCAAAGCAGAACTCTTTCAGTGCTGTTTTTCAGGGACTCATGTTAAGTTTAATCCTCCAGCGTGGTGACAGTCTAACCAGGTTCTGCTTACTGACTTCTGAATCATAGAACAACAATGACTTCTCTAATTCCTCTTCCCACTCGCCAAATTAAAGTATGGCTTATTTTCTTGCTGTTGCAAGCACTTCTTTGTTTGACTGGAAGCATGGAAATGAAGCGGTTTTTGTCTGTTTCATGTCTCACCCCATTATTACTCAGTCTGTAAGACCTGAACCAGCTATTGTATAGGTAAACTATGAACCAAATGGAATATGATTTGATTTTGAAAGGCCATGTTAACTGCAGATCAAATATGGCATTGAAATCACCGGAGGAGAGGCAGAGAGCTGATGCATTCAACTTTAGCATGTCGTTTTTACAGCGTCCCTTTCCCATCACACGAACCCACTGAAGTGCTGCTTGGTTTGTATTTTAATTCTCTCTCTGCCTCTGTACGCTGTGTGCAGCAGTTCCAAATTCAGACTGAGTTCTGCAAAGGAGAGGCTGCCTTAAGCAGAGGAGCTGCCTTGTTTCTCCTGCGTACAGCCTAGGGGGATACACCGTGCTTTTGGAGATGTTCTTCTCCAGAAGAGCAGAGCTGACTAAAAACTTGAGAACAGAAAATACAAACAGCGTTTTGGGCTCAAACACAACCCTGTCACAGCCCTGATCCAAAGTCCATCGAAGTCAAAGGATGTCTTTCCTGTTGATTTCAGGTGGATTTTGATGGGGTCTGCATCCTAGTGCTGCAAAGTGCACAAGCATGCGCTTGTCCATCTACAAGCGCGGTGGGGCGTTGTCACCCATGCGTTTGGCTGGTACCAGTGTTTGCTACTGGTGTTGCTGTCTTTAAGGTTCTGTCAGCACTTCTGCCCCGAAACGGCCCCGTTCGCAGCGGTGTGCGGCCTGGCCAGAAGCATTTCCTCCTAGCTGAAAAGTGGGAAGCAAAATGAAGCAATTTTCGGTTGTTGGCTTGGGGGCAGAAGGTATTACAAACCCATTTGCTCATCTGCGAATTCCAAGACTGGGAGGAGCTATGTCTGCTGGTTCCCAGCGCTTTTATGTGTTGCTGTAACTAAAGAAAACATTTATATTTCAAAAATGCAATTTTACAGGCTGTTTACCCACAAAACCAATACACGAGATATAAAAAGCCACTGGTTTATGTGCACAGTTTCCAGCTTTACCCAGAGGCTTTTCACTGTGCGTTCTGCGTTACGGATCCGTAATGCACAAACAGTTACTGCCGCCAATCCGTACTGGAGGTGCACAGGGGCTCAGCTCTGGCAGGGCTGTGCCGCCCGTGCCCGGGCAGCTCTGCGTACGCCGGCACTGACTTCTGGGAGCCGCTCTGTACCGAAGGCCAAATTCTGCTCTCCTCTACAGCAGGGTGACAGTAAAGGGGACTGTGTATGATTAGGACCGGTAACATTACTTGGCCCGATTTGCCTGAGTTGTTTCTGTGTTATGGGCTCTGAGTAACCAGCTGGATTTTAATGGATCTGTCTGCAGGGTTCTCTAAATCAGAGGCAGCCTCTGACCCTAGAAGCATGTCAGTAGAAGACCTTGTTCCAACATTTTCTTTGTAATATATTACAGTAACAAGCAAAAGAAATGAAACTATCTTGAAAACTGTCTTGTTAACAGCTTCGCTTCAACCCACAAAAGGAGGGCTGACCTCAGCTGAGCACTGAGGCAGACACTTCTAGATTCAAATCCTGCGCCCAGCAAATGCCTCGGTTTCTCCACCTGTACATTGGGAATAACAAATTTACACGCTGTGAAGAGGTACTCCAAGGTATGAGAAGTACAGGGCGCTTTGAAACAAATTCTAAGTATCGGGAATGAAGAGAATGACCCAAAAGCCATCCCTCAGCCTGGCTGCTGCGCTGGTCAGTTTATGGCTGTAAGCCATGCTTTAATTTATTCTAAGTGCTGAGTGCCAGAGCACGGGTTGCAGGATGTACCTGGCACTATCTTCTTCCTTCAGTGGGTTTAAGGGAACTTTTTTAACATAATGTGAATGTAGTTTTTTGTGATTTCTATGTACTACAGTTTGAAGTGGTACAATTTCTTTTATTTTTAGGACTGATTATTTGATGCTACAATAACATGAAAACTGTATGTGTAGTTTTAAAATGAATGGAGAACAACGGCTTTAAGGCACTCTGGCAGAAAAAGTGGCCAGATAGTACATTCATGTTCAATATCTGCCCCTTTCTTCCAAAATGTTTTTCCTGTGACTTCTAGACACACTGAGACCTTCTTCACTACATGAAGTGTTTCCTTATGGGGCCCATCAATGCATCACGATGCAGGTCGGGATAGGTGAGCGCTGGGTACGGTGAGGGCAGGTGCAAGACCGTGACCTGTTTCTTACTGGAGTCGGTGAGATGGTTCCCCTTGAATTCAGATTTTACCAAGTCGGGTGCTTGTCCGTCCCACAGTGTTTCTTCCAAGGTTCCAGGGACACCCTGTGAAAGCCTTTACAAAAGCTGAGGCTGCATAAGGTATTTCTAAGGGTTTATACAGTCAGCAGTATCAGTGTTAGTGAGCATTTTGGACAGGCAGTTAGTTACCTGGTACCAGGCCAAAGATGATGGCTCTTAGCCTCTGCCGTCTTACACTGTGCTGACCTTGCACATCCGCAAACGAGGGGGCTACTCCCAGTGGGGACTTCCCAGCAGGCTCAATTCCTGCTTTGGGAGGGTGGAAAGGCCAAGACATGCTGCAGTGCTAAGAAAAAGATATTTTTTTGCTTTTAGTCCCCAAAACAGTGTTAACTTCACTGCTCGGTGGGTGTTGTTGCTGAAGAAAACTTATTGCTCATTTGTCTCATCCCAGCTAGTTCTGTTGAAGGAGTTTGCCTCCTCCAAAGTTTTCCGGACAGTCAGATGCCACCTTGTACTCTACCCAGGTCACAAAACACAGCATTGACTGGTAAGGCTGCAGACCTAGACTGTCGTGGGGTTCAAAGTCAGCAACAAAAAAGCCCTCTCCACAAAGGATCAGTGTGAATTCCTGGCTTGCCTGAATTTATCCCTTCATGCCCAACATTTTGGAATAAATGGGGAGCACTTCAGGTTAATGTTTTTGCACCTGATAGTCTCTTACTTACTTACAAAACTGGACTGGCAATGGAAGCAGCAAAAGCAAGATCCCAACAAGCTTTTCAACCCTCTCTCCCAGGGCTGTTCTGTCGGAGCAGAAAGGGCAGTGCAGTTGCTGAGAGTACGAGCGAGACAGAAGGACCACCACGGTGGCAGTACGGACACATCAGTTAGGAAGTTCTCACCCTGAGCCCCTCAGATCACTTCACAGAGACCACTGAACAGCTACAGAAGGTAATGACTGGCATTACAGAACAGGGCCTGGTCGAGATTTATATCCTGGGGTTAAAAGCATCTCTAGCTCCTTACTGGCATTTAGAGCTACTCAGACCCCCTGCTGTCCCGTAGAATTTTCTGAATGTCACAAAAATGGGTGGCCCTACTGGAATCTGCAACACAGGCTGTGCTAAACACTGTATTTCCAGGGTTATAGCTTGGAATGCAGCTCGCACTATCTGCTGGATTCAAATCACAGGGCTGGCTGCATTATCCTTTTGTTCTTGTTTTCACTAATATTAGCAGATCATATTCCAGTGGCAGAAGCGAGTGCAGGATTCGCTGCCTGATCAGCACCA